ATTACTTTTTATATTCTACTTCATTTTACTTTTATTTTTCTCTTTATTTATATAGTTTATTTTTCACTTTAACAATACGAGTTTTAATTCTTGTTTCGACACAAGTAAATCATAATTGTATTTGTCTAAGAGAGTATTTGATAAAATTGATATCAGCTTGAAATATTTAACTATTGCAAAATCAGAATATATAATGCAACCTTGGGCAAAATTTATTGATACATTGTGAACAATTCCAAGAGATTCTGTAGGACTAGTAGTGATATCTCTAAGATCGTGTTTTTCTTTTGTATCAATTATTAATCATTTGGCTATATCTTCAGACATAATTGGAAAGTTTGCACCAGAATTTATTGTGGCTGCCGGGATTACAAATCGTTTAATTTTGCATTTTGTAGTTATGACATCTGTAGCTGAATTTTTTTTTGAATGATATCTATCTCTATAGGATCGTCTAGCATTTCATTCTTCCCATTGGAATCAGGTATTTCTGGAGCTGGGTTTCGATAATTTATAAAATCAGATTTTGTAACAGATAAATTTGTATTATTAATATTGTTTTTAATTGTTTCTATAACCTCTGGATTATTAAATATAGCTAGAATAATTTTTTGAATTTTTAAGTTGATAATTATATCTGATTTCTTTTGTAAAGTACGTTGAATCTTCGATTCAAGACTTCGTTTCTTCTTTGGACTAGATTTCTTTTTGGAGGATAATTTACTTTTTTGTTTTACTTTTTTTTTATTTAACATCATTAATAACATTTATAATTTTTGTAATTTCAGTCTCAGTTAAATTATTCTCAAAATCAGATTTTGATTCAAACTCAGTTTCAGATTTAGAGCCAAAGTCAAAATTGGAATTATTATTAGATAAGTCTGTATCTGAACTAAAATCAGAATTCACAACAATCTTATTGACATTATCTTTCTTTTTAGGTCGGTTCTTTTTTTTTATTTTTTGAACATTTAGAAGAATTTGAACAATGACTAATTTTATGGCATCCTGAGCAACAATGTTGTGACTTAATAGCTTTTTTAACAGCCCTGGCTACATGTAAATTTAATTGTCTTTGTGTAAGACTGGCCAGTTCTGATAAACCAGGTTTAGGAATAGAAATGAATTCTGGAATTTCTCCAGTAATCCATTGTAAAAATCTACCAATATTTGTATTCTGTACAGTCTAATATATTCTTGAAAGATATGGTCTATAATAAGGTTTAGATGGTTGTATTTGCTGAAAAACAGGTTGCAAAGAAATAGACTGGGATTGTATAGATGCTATTGTACTTTTTATCAGATTTTCAGTTTCTTTTTGGGTCATGCCTGTGTTATTCGTTATATAAGGATTTTTTGTATTAGTTGTAGATCGTAAACAAGAAGTAACTGGATGAGAATTAGAATTATATTGCCTTAACATCAATTCAGCTTTCAGTCTTTTAATTTGTTCTAATTTTGGTAATAAAATAGAAATTGAATTTTTAAGACCAATACATTTTACTTCTAATTTATTGTCATGAAAAAGACCTTGAAAAAATTATTGTCTAATCATTTCTTTCTAATTTAATGCTGTAAGTGCTGGATAAGCAAGTACAACCATTCTTTTTAATTGTGCATAGAATTGGCCTATTGGATCAGTTTCATTGAGTAATATTATTAAATACAACTTTTGATTTTTCAGTGGTAATCATTGGATAATTTGTTCTGAACCAATATATTACTTGTTCAATACGAATACCAGAGGCAATAGTATTACCTCCTGCATTAGTATTGGAAGCATTGGAAGCATTGGAAGCTAAATCTGTTAACTGTTCACTAGCTATTGATCAATCTTCATCAAAAACAGTATGTGCTAGCACTAATGGTATAGCAATTGTATTGTTGTCAGCTGGAACTATATTTCTTATTTGAAGAGCTCCACCTCCAAACTGATTAGCATTGATATTATGCAATGTATTATTGTTAGCTAATTTATTAATAGCTCTAAGATTGGCCAAGTTGGTATTATTACTAATATTTTGCAATTCCCAATTTTTATTCTTGAAACTTGTTTCATACCAATCTTTTACATCATCTTTCAAACAAGTCTCAAAAAATCTGTAAATTCTTATTTTGGTTTGAGCATCTGCAAGTGAATCAAGTTCAAATGCTTCACAATATTGCCTAAAATCTCTAATCCATTCTTCAGGATCTTCTCCAGCTTTTTCATAAAATAAGGTAGTACATATTTCACCATTCTTCTATATTGGTTATTTATAGATTGATTATTGTGTAGTAATAAAATTTGGGCTTGTAAATTCAAAATTAATTGGCATTGTGCAAATTTTTCTGTCAATAATGTAATATTACATTTTTTTTATGCTCAGATGGTTAATTGCCCATATAATTCACAAGATCTCATAATAGTGCTTTTATTTTCTACTTCTGATACCTGGCTATAAGTTGGTCACACCAATATTCTAACATAGCTCCATTAGCATAACATTCTTGTAAACCTCTTTTGGCTTGATATGCTCTATTTATATAAATTGTATATCGTTGATAAATCTATTGAAAATTATTTAAAGCTCTGCATCTGGCTCCAACATATGTTAAACCTAAAATACGCAAGCATTCTTTTAACTTATTATATTCATTTTCCAGTTTTACAAAATTTTCAGATACTTCTACATAATCTATTACTGGTCTTTAAAGTTTTGCTAAGTTTTTAATAATTCCTCTTGAATATCAATTATGAATTTTGTTAATCTATAATTTTCAGTACAATATAAATCTAACTGGTCTTGAAGAGTTTGATTTTTTTCTATCAATTTATTGGAAAAATTCTGCTGATTTTGAATTATATATACTTGCTCATTTATAGTTTGTTGTTGAACAAATAAATGGGTTTCATTTTCTTCAATAATACTTTCTCTTATATGACCAATCTCATAGTTATATTTATTTTCAATTTGAGCTATTCTCAATTCGGTTTGTGTTTGAAGATTATCAATTTCATCAGAAAGTAATGAATCACCATTTCTTCTATAACAATCGGCTAAATATTTAAAATTATCATGGACCTTAATCAATAATGTAAGAACTGTTTTAAAACTATTAGTGATATTACTTGACATTCTAATATTTTGATATGATTGTTGAATTCCATGTTGAAGTAAAGATATTTCATTACTCATTTCTAGTAATTAAGTTTCAAGAAAAATATTATTTTTATTCTTATTCTCAGTATTTTGTAATACCTTTTTAAGATGCTTCTTAAGATTCGTATTTTCTGATTTGAGAATTTCAATTTCATTATCCCAATCTGTAATTTGCTTTTTGAGATATAAGATATAATTCTTGGCCCAAGATAATTTATATTTCAATTTTTGAATTTGTGTTTCAAGAGAGATCATCGAAATTTATTCTAGTTTATAATATAATAAGTAATATTGAAGATGAGTAAATTAAGCATACCTATTATTAAAATCAATCCAGATGTGAAATTAAACTTAATCTGTAAATTGTTTTTTTACCAACCTACTGGTTATCATTCCAATGCTTGAAAGTTGTATAATACTATCAGAGATAAAGAATATAATTTTCTATATAAAAAAGTTTGCAAATGGTTATATAACCAGAATTAATGGCAAAAGTATGTTCCATTACTGAAAGATATTCCAAGAGTTAGTTATAGTAAAATTTCATGTCTGAACTGTATGCACCAGTACAATCTTTTACATCTTACTAATGTTTAAATAGGTTTTCAATGTTATAGATGTTTCCAATAGATACAAATATTTTATATCTCTAACTTCAAAAAATAATTCAAAGATAGTTAAGACATTCAAGAAAATTTATGACAACTCGAATATTTCTCTTACCTGACCTGATTTATTACAATGTGATAGCAGTAGAGAATTTATAAGTAAAACTTCCAAGCTTATGCAAGAGCATAATGTAACAATATGAGTCATTGATATATATAATTATCATGGTATGGCGATTGTGAAACAATTTAATAAAACTTTAGCAGAAATACTATATAAAGTCCAATATGTTGTCGAAAGTATAACTTTGACCCTAAATTAATAAGAGAGTGGGTTAAATATTTGCCAGAAGTTATCAATTATCTAAATAATTATTTGATATGTCTTATTAGAGCTCCTGGATCGAAGAAATGAGAATTGGCACCTATAAAAGCAATTAAGTTAGAAAAGATTAAATCTAGGCCATCTACAAAATATAAACATCCTGTTGGCAAAAATAAGAAAAATAAGTTAAAAATGGAGATAGAGTTTGTTATCTGCTTGCTAATATGGAGTGGGAATATGGTATAGAAAATCAAAGATATGCAATGGATCCCACATGTTCGCCATCTATTTATAAAATTTGTAAAATTGTAATAACAAAAAATGAACCAGTTTTATATTATCTCAGAGATGATAAATATGCTCCAAAGTATGGATTTGTAAAAGAAGAGCTGATGCGAATAAATCTAGAAAAACTTCAGTATCCACCCTAGAGTATATTGGAAGAAAACATTTGTTCCAGATCTATTAATTTTGTTTGTGTTATTGATAAAATATCTAAAGTTATCATATATGCTAAGAAGTATAGCGGAACATGTTTTAGAAAACTGGTTAAATAAACAATTTCGATGTATACCTCTAGTTCTGTACAAACAAACTCTATTAATGGGAAGCACCTTATAAGGTCTTGATACAAAAATTTGAGTTGCGTTTATTGGAAAGGGGAGCACTCTGCAAGATATATTTTTGAAGATTTATTAGGTAAGAAATTCTCATTTTGTAAACTGTTATTTTTGAATAGAATGCAATCAGGCAGGTATAATGAAGAATTAAAATTGACATGGGAATATAACAGGGTCCAACATTATTATCACAATAGTTTATATCACAAAAATCAAAATGATCTAGACAGTCAACAGACACGTGACCAAAAAAAGCAAGATAAATATAAAATAGATAGTATAGAACTCATTTGTATTTCTTTTGATTGTGATTTATTTTTTTTTTATTTTTTTTTAGTTGGCTAAGGGCATTAGATGCGAGACTTTTTATTTACTAATTAATAGTACTGTCATTATATCAAACATCTTTACAGACTAAACTATTGCTATTCTAGAATGTAAATTAATGCTACCTAGTGATTACCATTTCCAGTAGTACCGGTTTTCTATAAGCCAACTATTACCTGACTATGCATCCATTTTAAATACCTCGGGGATGTGTTCACATGCCAGGTGGAACTTTCACAGGAGGAGGAATCCTATCACTTGTTTAAACCTACCTACAACTTGCTGGTCCATTATTGCAGAGAGCAAGTTATTTATGGAATATTATTATAGAAACGAATTCCAGTATTCCAGTCACTGTTATCGCTGATCCTCAGGATGTGCCACTAACATAGCATTGCACTACTATTTTCACCACCTGTGGAACTGGCGTCCTTGCTTGGATTCCGATTTAATCTTATCAATCCTCACTAGACTCACTTGGTCTTAACGATTTTTGCCTGGATTGTCACCTGTTGTGGCAGATAACCTTTGCCCTTTCAGTCCATTTAAGTTCAGGAGAATACTACTCATGGGATAGATCTTCAAGCTCCAGATTGGAATAGATCATGCTTAGAGTTAGCCTCTTTTGTGTTGTGTGACAGAGTCTGCTGTCGCCAGTTTGGGTTAAAGTTTTTGTGGACTTTTACCGGAGTTAGACCAGAAGCCTTTCCTCAAGCAACCTTCTGTGCTTTGACCTGTTTTCAGCCTGTAATCGTCGGGAAGACCAGAGGTCCCATCTTTATGCAACCTAACTAAATTTGGAAGTAGATTTTTGGCTAATTGGGTATGACATAAATTGGAAGCCAGTTAACTATTTGATTGTGATTTATTTATTTATATCAAAAGTGAATTGCTTAAAAAGTATATTTGAAAAATACAGATATTAATAAATATGATAATTGATACTATCTCAATAGCTAAATAATATTATACTCTGAATTCAAGTGTGATGAGATATTTAGATACTTTACTATTGATGCCAATGAAGTATCTTTGAATTTATATTGAAGATGTGTTATGATTTTATTAGTAATATCATAAGAAATGTTTAACAAAACCTTTTTACATTCTTTTTATATTATACATATTAACCACCCAATATGTATTAATCAACTGCTTTTATCATTATATCCAATATGGAGCAAGAAATGAAAATCATCTATCACAATATTAATTGTCATTCTTTGATCTACAATAAATTTTTGATATAATAGATTAGTTTATTTGGAATAAAAAATAAAGGCATGTCCATATATGTATATAAAATCAATGAGACATCTAAAAAATCATCAGAAAGAATGAAAGGTAATAGGTATTCATCAGACTGCCCATTTAGAATGCTTATAAATAGAAGCTCAAATAGTGAAAAAACTAATATGGGAATAAATCTCATGTTAGATAAGAAACTCAAATGTATGTTCAATGGGAAAAAAGATGATTGGTATATCAGAAATAATGAACTGATATTAATAGCAAAGCATTCTGAACTAAAATGAGAGTTAATAAAAAATGTATATCAGATCTTTGCAAATGCACTGAAACCATATCAAGAGGATGTAATATTCAAAAAGATAATACCAGACAAGATCCCCGATATAACTAAATTCTCTCCAAAGCAAAGTACAGTTGTTATTTTCAAAGATCTATGTGCAAAACCAAAGAAAGTGCAAGAACGAATTATTTCTTACTTTATTAGTGGCCGGCACAAAAATGTTTTACCTATATATGTGAGCCAGAAATATACACAAATACCTAAAATTATTCATGAAAATTTAAGCCATCTAGTACTATTTAACAATGGAGGGTCATGAGATAATTATATTTATATTCTGCGCCAGTTTGTAGATAATCCTAAAAAAGCATCCAAAATTATTGACAAGCATTTATGAAATCGAAATTTTATAGTTTTTGATTTCACTAAATCAACTAATGATCCTTTAAGTATATGTCTTGGTTGGGACACTCCTTTAAAATTAAATGAATAGAATAGAATTTCAAAGATTAGAAATATTTCTCTTCAATGTCTTCAAAACTATCACTAAATAATGCTTGTGTTATTATTGAATCTGCAGTGGGAAATGTCTTTCAACTATATACAAAGATAATAAAACTCCATTAGTATGGATCTGCTCTAAGAATCATATATGGAGTGCTCCACCTCGTAGAGCTAAAAATTCTGGATCATGGTGTCCACATTGTGCAGGTACTGTAAAACTAACTTTCAAGACTATCAAAGAAATCACATTTTCTAAACATGGAGAATGTTTCTCAAATGAGTATAAAAACAATCAATTGCCATTATTATGGTATTGCAAAGAAAATCATTTATGGCATGCATCTCTGGGAAATGTGAAAAGTGATAAGTGATGTCTATATTGCGCAAGTAATGCTTATCTTACTCTTGAAGATGCCAAGCAAATTGCACTTAGCTGAAATGGTAAATGTCTTTCAACTGTATATAAAAACTTTAATACCTCAATGACATGGAAATGTTATCAAGGACATATTTGGAATAGCTCATTTCATAATATTAAACATTCTGGAACATGGTATTTATTTTGTGCAGGTAATATAAAGTTAACTCTTGAGGATGCAAAGCAAATTGCATTATCAAAACATGGTGAATGCCTTTTAACTGAGTATAAAAATAATAATGATCCACTCATTTGGAAATTTCAATTTAACCATTAATGGCAAAATGATTTTAACCATGTTAAAAATAGTGGGCAATGGTGTCCATTTTGTATCAGTCGAAATTAGTCAATAAAGGATATGCGCAAATGAAAAATGGAGATTGCCTTTCAGATCAATATTATGATTTGCAAACAAAATTGGAATGGATTTGTGAAAACAATCATAGATAGAAGGCTGTTCCCAATAGTATTCAACAAGGAAGTTGGTGTCCATATTGCACAGGTAATATGAAATTAACTCTTGAGGATGCAAAGCAAATTGCATTATCTAGACATGGACAATGCCTTTCAATCGAGTATAAAAATAATCAATCACAATTATTGTGAAATTGCAGAGAAGGTCATTTATGGTACGCGTCTTTTAATAATGTGAAAAGTGGTACTTGGTGTTTATTTTGTTGTAAATACAAATGCGAAGAATTATGTCGAGAAATTTTAACAAAGTATCTTGGTCCACCATCTAAAAATCGCAGACCAGATTTTTTGAAAATGCCTGAACATTCAATAGATTTAGAACTCGATATTCCTTACTACCATTATGGTTTTGCAATTAAAGTATAGAGGGGTCACATAAAATTAAGCCGATGATTAAAAATTCTATACCGTTGCGATTTTTAAAATTAATAATGTCTTAAAATGCACCTATGTTATACTGCGCATTAATAACACGTTTGTTTGGATTTTTTTTTACTATTTAAGTAAAAAATATTTTTGAAATTTGACGCATACACTCCAATGGAATGTAAAAACGACATCATGGATGGCAAACAATATACAGTAGAAATGCTAAAAAAAGAATGCATATCTGCTGTTAAAATTGTACGAATTATTGGAAGGTCTGATACTGCAGTTAAACACTGTCTCAAGTGGTTAAAATCAACCAATAATTTTGGTTATTTGGGGAGAAAGAATAGTGGTAGAAAACCAGTGATCGACGATCGCTTCAAATGATTTATTTTGTGAAAGATTAAGTTGAATCCAGAACTGAGAAGAATGCCAAAACACATATTAGTTACCATATTTTCATCCAATCCTATTTCTCATTATACTTTTTTAAAAAAATAATATTCATTCCTACATTGCACACAAAAAACCATTCATTAGCAAAAAAAATCAAATCAAACAATTAGATTGGGCAAAAGTTCATGAACACTGGACTAAAAAAGATTGGAGAAATGTTCTTTGGACCGACGAGTCCTCCATTAATATGGACTCTTATTGAAAAGTCCGTATTTGGTGTCGCAGGAATGAATTTATGATCCAAGTTGCACGCAAGCAACTACCAAAAGCGGATAACAATCAATTATGATATGGGGATACATGAATGGATACAATTTGCACCATTTGGTTCAAGTTTCATCTCATATGAATGGCAAAGAATATAGGGACCTTGTTTTGGATGCTATTTATCCAATCGATTTGGCCACAGAAGAAGGAATACTACAGGAAGACAATGCACCCATTCACAAGTGTAAACTTGTGAAAGAAATTAAATCTGAGCTTGAAATCATGACTATGGAATGGCTGCCACAATCACCAGACCTTAGTCCAATCGAAAATGTGTAGAGAGATGTCAAGGCGTGGATTCATAAGAATCGAAAACCACGTAACAAATCCGATTTGGAGGAAGCTGTTACTGCGGCATGGGATAGTGTCGAATTTGATAAAATCCTCCACTATATGGACTCAATGCCCGATCGTGTGAAAGAAGTGATAAAAAAAATGGATATGCGACACATTGGTAGATTATTTGTATGCGCATAAAAATAAATTTTTATCACACAAATAATTTTTGTCGTGATAATCGGCTTAATTTTGTGCGAGAGCAGCACGAAAAATATATTAAATTCTTTCATAGAGGAGATCCCGATAATTTCATCAAACAGCAAGCACGAGATCAACTTAAGAAAGAATTATGCGAAGAAAATTGGATCGTTTTAAGGTATGTTTGGTATTACGAAGACCCATATATTGTTATTCCAGAGCATCTTCGAGAATTGGGTCTTATAGAATAAAGATAAAACTTTAAATGCTTTTTCAATTCACTAATTCTATCAAAATCATTTAACCACAGGAAATTTACTTTAGCAAGAAATTTCATTTTTACAATGCATCACATAAGACAACTGGCGAAATCTTATTAATATTATTCATTAAGCAACTTCGGATAAATTACAATATTAAAAATAAATGTAAAAATGAACAATCATTATTTACGATCTTTGATTATTTCTTTAAACTGTGTTCCCAGTGTAGCTCGCAACTGATTGATGATTTCTACAGGAATATCGATATTTTCTTCCTTTTTGTTAATATCATCACGAAGCCTTTGTACTTCATACTCATATTTCTCCTAGGGTTTACAGTAAATGTTACTGGTTAGTTTAAGAATAATAAAATCATCGAAAACATTAATTTAAGCATACAGTGAATGTGAACAAATTGTCAATGCCGTCAATAAATTGTCCACAGGTTTGAATAGACTCGGGAAGTTTGGTTTCGCCAATATCGAACATAATATATAATCCTGAGGCAGTCAAAACCATGATATAACCTGTCCATATTGTCACTTCCATCCATACACATGTGAGCAGAGTACATAAACGTTTATAAACAATATGATAATTATGTAGTGAACACTTACCAATTGTTTGCCACGCAAAAGTTGTATGATTTTTTCCTGTCTTCTTTATGAGAAGATCTAGAGCATCCTTCATGAAAATGCCTAGTCTGATAAGATCTATGTTGTTTTTCTTTTTGTTATTGTTTTTTCCATCCCCTGTAATCTCGCAAAACATCATTTCGTATTTAGATTTGTTGTTATTCACAACATTACCGATCATGTCTGGTTGCTTTGCTCGTGAAGGATCTAGATTGGCAAGTTTACGGACTTTGGCGCTCATACTGGCAGTGTTTGGCCATATGGCTGGATGTATTGAAGAATCATGAAAGAAGGAACGCAATATGGGGCTAATGATGTTGACAGTCAGAGTGCCCTCACTGAGAAGGTCCTTCAATAGCTTAACAGGGATATTTTTCGTTCTGAGATAGATAAAAGTGTTATAGCCAGCTGAAAAAAAGAGGAAATAAAAAGCATCATAAGTTTAAACTTACAGCTGTAAAAAGACAAACCGCATCCTTTCAAACTTTTTCGATCAATAAGACAATCAAAAGACTTTGTGAACGACTGTTCTACAGCTTTTTCCGCTTCTTTCAGCCCGAGAGCCTCATCAAGTGCAATCTAAAATATCAACCGCCATATAAAAAAATTACGATAAGTGACTTTTCGAAAAAATAATACGTTAACACATTACCTCAATACATTCTCGAAATATCGTCTTTACGCCTTGTGCGACCTTGGTTTTTACTATACACGTATTGCGCATATGTTTATGAAAATCTACTAGAGTATCTCTGGAAAATTGTTTAATCTGCAGATCTGAAAAGTTATCGGCTTGTAATAATAAAATATGCGATAAGCTCCTAATGTTTCCAAATAAATATCGTTAACTTCTGATGATTCATACAAGAATGTGCTCTTAAAATTCAAACTTACAATATCTCATGGTAGTCTTCAATAGATAAACCCGATTCCCGTGCCATTTGCCATGCTCTCGAACGATATGATGTAAATAGCGCAGATATATTCTTCTCTTGAAACATATACTATATATTGCAAAGACTTTTATTAGTAAATATCAAAACATATTATTAGCTGGTAGAAAAGAAAATGAAACTCACGGGATTATCATCACCATTTTCATCAAATGCATCCGAATCGTTCAAGAAAACTCTCTCTTGATCATCGTCATCATCACTTACATATTCATCGTTACCATCCACAAACTCATCAAACGTATAATTATTAGGATCTCTCTTATCTGCATCAAAACCATCACTGTCAGTTTCTTCATCATTGCATTCACTTCTTGTAGTTGGAGAAATGATTAAATTTGAAGAAAATATATGATTTTCGGGTGTTCGTGGTGAAGGAGGATTCTCACCATCGATCTTTCTCCGTTTTGGGTCATCATTATTCTAAAGGATTAAACAAATACAAATCATTAACTCTCGGATTCTCATGACTTATAGCTAAAAAATGCGCACCTGTAGATTGGGAATCTCTCTCATTGAAGATCTAGTGGCGAAGAACCCATTTATAGTTCCGACTGTTCCGCCATTTATAGTCCCAATACCATGATCCATGAATGTTGAGTGGTGGAGGTGAAGTTGTTTATTAGAGCGCTCCTTATTCCACTTCCTCGATGTTTTGTAATCAGTATAAGGTTCCTATCATTAAATATGTAGAAATTAGTACTATTCTTGATTTAAAACATTCCAATTTCCTATAATTTTCATCCGTTGCCTCGGCTAGAAGCCTTCAACTACAGATCAACCTAGAAGGTCAACCTGCTTCAACGGGGCTAGTATCAGGTCGGCTAGAAGCCTTGAACGACAGAAAACCTAGAAGGTCATCTCTGCGCCCTAACACTACCTGAGCGTCAGACAACCTAGAAGGTCACCTACACTCCAATACTGTCAAGACCCCCACATTTGAAAGTTATTACTCGCCTCATTATATTGATTAAGTAACCATTGTGCGCTTTTGCGCCTGCAGTCTTTTACATTATTAGAGATGTTTTTGAGGCTTTTAGTATAACAATATATCTTTTGTTCGAATGGTTCAAGCTCACACTCGTTTAAAAAATCCGTTATATTCCACCTGGATTCTCCACGTACGAAGTATTTATGTATTTCTGACATTGCTGAAAGAAATGCGAGATTATTACAAACGTGTTTGTCAAAACGAGGGAAAATGAACTTACTCTCTAAAAGAAAGTAAATCCGTTACAAGTCCGGAGAATACTAAAAAGTGGGAAGTGTGGATGAAATACACAGATAAAGTTTGATTATTAACAAAGTTGAAAACACGTACAGTACGTGTGTACGTGTTCCGATTCGATTTTTGCAAACCCCGGTTTAAAGTCACGCTGATAAATCACGTGATAACTTTAGAATCTCTATGATGATTTGGATTTGGCTTTGAAATTGTATCCGCACTAAACGACACAACTCGCTTAATCTTTTTTACCCCTATTCTTGCGTAAATTCTCCTTTGTAATACCCCGCCTTCTCATGATTTTATCACTCGAAGCCAGAATTATATTAATTGGATTTGGAACACATATGGGTAAATATTTTCGAAGGCGGACAGGGATTTTTCGGACACTGTAATTGTGATCCTTAAATTTAAAATTTATATCTATCATTCTATTCGCTTTCAAAAATATTTACCCATATATTATCTTTTTTCGAGAGAAAAAAGGATAATTGTATCGTATACTCCGTTTTATCACCAATCCCTACTATTACATTGAGATCCTGTATAGCTGGTTCTAAACCGTGCATTGATTGTATTTGCGATGTTGTTCCAAAAATCCACCCTACTACTGCCGGGATATCATGATACTGTGGATTTTTGTTTTTTCTTTCGTCTATTAATAAACGTAGTTGATCGTCAGTCCACATATCGATTGTAAAAAAAATGCGACTCAACTAGGTACACTTATTTTCATTAGCATCTCGGATTTGTTTATCTCGGACCGGGCCTAAATGAAAATTTCATATCGAATAACCAGGAATAGAATTATGTCCCATCTCTACATATACTTACTAATTTTCTCGCTCCAAATTTAGTATTAATACAAATTAAATCAATTTTTATTACATATTATAGAAAAGAAAAATGTCTTATGAACTACATGATCAGATTTCCAAGTATATAGGTTTTAGTCCTGAAAAAATCTGTCTTTCAGTTACAGAGGAAGATAAATAACATTTTCAAGAATTAATAGCAGACCAAGAAGAGATGATTGATATTGTAATGAATTAGTATCAATTTTTACTTCATAATGGACATAACTATAAGGGCGGGAAATTAATACATTATAATGTAGGTATATACTGTATATGTACTGAAAAAAGTGTTGAGAAAGTATTAATAAAGGTATCTTCATCGAAAATATTATCTAGAAAGGTTTTAGCTCATATTGAAAAAAGATTCGAAGACCTTCCATTCGCACCAGTTGTTATAGTTGATTGGATAGATCACTACTCCAGAATGCAGACACAGTTGGTATGCTTATTTATACAGTGTTCTCAGATAGAAGAAATAAGATCTGCTCTATCTAATAATGGAGCTTATTCGTATTTTAATAAGGACAAAGTTCCATGACTAAGAGAGTTACTCTTCAGGCCTGCAATGCAATAATATCAATCTTTGGCTTGTTTCATAAATGATCCATCAGGTCTATAAAGCCATTAATTACTGCATGCTGGATTATTTTAGTGAAATTAATTTGTCTTCTCCATAAATAATATGTCCGCTGGATAATCAATGTTACATGATTTTCTTTATATAATGCTAGTTGAACTTTAAAATCCTTATAATTAGAATCATTACCTATTTGCTGATGGCTGGTTAAATTATTTTTGATGCGAAATACAAAATTTTCTCAGTAATTTCTATTATTTATTTCATATCCTAGTTTAATAAACACTTGTGTATATATTTTGATAAATAATATTTTGCAAACTGTAATTATGCTTCTGACATTTTAATATTGTTAACAATATAATGGACCCCACAGGGGTTGTTATAATATTAAAGCGTGATTCTATGTAGCTATAAAATTTAAAAAATCCAAAAATACAAAGTTCAACATAAGGGGATTTAATTTTTATATGTGGATAATAAAATGGGGATATGCGGAAAATAAAATATAATGTTTAATTCATGAATTTTAGATTTGATATTTTTTTTATTGTGGTATTATTTTTATATTTTGGTATTTCCTTTCGAGTTTCACTATTTTTTAATTTTTTTTTTCAAATTGGTTCTTTTTTTTCAGGATCTGTGATTTTTTTTTTTTTTTTTGAATTTGGTTCTTCTTTTTTCAGGATCCATGATTTTTTCTTTTTTTTCGAATTTGATTCTTTTTTTTCGGGATCTGTGACTTTTTCTTTTTTTTTCGAATTTGTTTTTATTTTTAGGATCTATGATTTTTTCTTTTTTTTTCAAATTCAGTAATTTTTTTTTTGGAATTTATGATTTTTTTTTTTGAATTTGGTTTTTTTTTTTTTGAAATCCGTAATTTTTTCTTTTTTTTTTTTTGGAATTTGGTATTTTTTTTTTCGGGATGTGATTTTTTCTTTTTCAAGATCCGTGATTATTAGTTTTTTTTTCGAATTCAGAATTTGGATTTTTTTGAGGAGGATTTTGTTTTTTTTTCGAGATTCAGAGGGTTTTTTTATTTCAAAATTTGGATTTTTTTATTTTTTTTTTAATTTTATTTTTTGAAATTTGATTTTTTAGGATTTTTTTTTCCTTCAAATTCAGATATTATTTTTTCTTTTTTTCGGAATTCGGAGGTTTTGAATTTTTTTTCAGAATTCAGATTTTTTTTTGATTTTTTATAAGGATTTTGGGAATTTTTATTTTCAGGTTTCGGATATTTTGATGAGTTTAAACCTTTTTTTTGGAATTTAGATTTTTTTGTTTTTTATTGGGTTTCGGAAATTTTTGTTTTTTCAGCTTTCAGATTTTTTGATAGGTTTGACTCTTAATTAAATTTTAATATATTGAATATTATATATTGTTATAGTGCGACACGACGAGTCTGTCGCTTCGATCTGGCCTACGCCGTGTAATAGTCGTAACTCGTTTTTCTTTGAAATAGGTGTGTATGTTTTTGGTCGAGTATATATTGTGGATCTGTTAATCTATTATAGTTGTATTGAATAACCAACCTTTTCTCAATTGTTTTACTTGTTACTTTTATACTTCTTTACTATATACTTGATATACCAAATATACCAAATATACTTGATATACTTAATATACCTAATATACCTTATATACCTAATATATCTGATATACCTAATACACCTGATATACTTAATATACTTATTATATCAAATAGATCTAATTATCTTTTCCTTGTTTATCTATCTTTTTGTATTACTATTTTTACCTTTAACAATATTAATAAATATAGAATTAAATTTTAAGCTTAATTTTAATTAATTAAATTAAGTAAAATTCAAGATATCTGATAATAAATTTATTAATTAAATTAATTAAAAATAGTTTGATAATAAATTATATTTATATATTAGTTTAAAATATTCAAATCGTTAAATATATATACTAAATATTTTATAATTTTTATTTATAATTTTTTCAAATATTAAATATTATATTTAATATTTTTTTATAATAAAATTAATTTTTTGAGCCCATAAACAAATTTTTAAACCTATAAATTTTAAATAATTGGAGTAAGCCTCAAAATATTAAAGAAAAAAATTTTGAATCAATTTCTTTATTGAGGAGAAAAAAAAATCCTCCTACTATATTGAAAACTTATTTGAAATCTTATATAAAAATTTTTTATGTCACCAAAATCCAAAAAAGATTTTCGACCAATTTCTCAATATATTTTAGATACTTCTTCAGAATCTGTTAATGAAATTAAAGAGAAAAAAAAAAGAAGAATAGTAAGAATTTATTTTGCCAAATATTATTATTATAAACAATTGGATGAATCTTCATTATTTTAAGAAGAAACAATTGTTGAATCTTCAACTCAAGCATGTTTTTTTCAAACAAGTTTTTTTTAAACAAGTTTTTCTTAAATATCTTCCGAAAAAAGAATTAAAACACAAGAAGTTGCTAAAAAAAGAATACAAAAATATAGAGAATCTAAAAATATTAAAGAAATTAAACAAAGATATCAAAAATTGAAGAAAGAAGAATTTAATTAATTTTATAAAATTGGTTATAACAAATTAGATGAATATGAAAAAAATAATATTCAAGGTGATAATATTATAAATAATAGGTATCAATTAGAAAAGATGAATATTATTTGTAAATATTGTTATGCTCTAAAATGAAAAGAAGAAACTAAGGGTTTCTGTTGTTTAAATAGACAAATACAGTTGGCTTCACTTGCTTCTGCACCAAAAATTATATATAATTTACTTACTACTGAAGATTCTAATACTAATGAACCTTTTATAAATCAAATACGTGCATACAATCAAGTATTTGCATTTATATCAATTTGAACTCAATTAGATAGAAATTTTGCTAATGCTAAAGAAGAAGTATATACTTTTAGAATTCAAGGAAAACTTTATCATCAAATTGGTCCACTTATGCCTTATTCAGGTCAAGATCCAAAATTTGCTCAAATTTATTTTTATGCTTCCACAAATTATGTTAATCAAGTCAATAGAAGATATAAAATAATGAACAAATCATTAAATTATGAAATATTAACTGAACTTCAAAAGGAATTAGTTGATATTAATCCATTTGTACATATATTTGTAAGCACAGGAATAATGAATGAATCAAAAAATCAAGATGTATTATGTATTGTAATTTATAATACTCATGGAAAAGATATGAAATTATATAATACACTAACTACAGAAGAAATTGCTGCGATTAGTTTAGAAGATGTTGAAATAATGCAAGAAAGAGATATTTTAATTAAAAGACATAATAATAAACTCAAAAAAATATCTGAATTACATGGTGCATATGATCCTTTACAATATTCATTTTTATTTCCTTTTGGAGAATATGATTGGTATAATGGATTCTGGAAAGCAAATGCATAAGAGATTAAGACAATTGAACATGAAGAATTACATACAGAAGCAAGTCAATTTTTTGAAGAACTTGCTCTTGAATCTTTTTCTAGTATAAGTAAATTGGAAGAAGAATTTAAAGGAAAAGAAAAAGTTATGGAAATTGAATCTGATGATGATTTATCACAATCTGATAATAAAAATTTAAAATTATCAAAAATTTAACAAAAAACTAAACCTAAAAGAGTTATAATTAAAGAATTTGTGGTTTATAGATTTATGATTGGAGATTCAAACAAATCAAAAAGTATTATTTATCTTGCATAAAGATTATTTCAACAATATATTGTAGATAAATATGTTAAATAGAAAACTAGCAATTTAAGATAGTATTCTCAGAATCAAAAACAATTTAGATTTGAAATTTATCAAGGATTAGGTGATAGGATTTCTAATGAAAATATCAATATTAATGAAATTGGAAAAAAGATAATATTATCATCTTTATTTACTGGATCCACAAGATATTTACAACAATTATATCAAGATTCAATGGCAATTGTTAGAGAATTTGATAAACCAGATATTTTATAACTATTACCTGCAATCCAAATTAGCCTGAAATTGTTGATGAACTTTTACCAAATCAACATATATCAAATAGACCTGATTTAATTGCAAGGGTTTTTAATTTAAAAGTAAAAGTCATTACTTAAGATTTATTTGTAAAAGAAATACTTAGAAAAGTTATTGCTCATGCTCATGTTATAGAATTTCAAAAAAGAGGTTTACTATATATTCATATTTTAATAATATTGGTATCTGAAGATAAACCACAAACTTCTGAAGATTTTGATAATATTATA